AAGCCTTCCTCCCCAATCTGCAGTTGTGGACAAACTCTAACTATAAAGCACATTCTCTGCGACTGCCTCAACTTTTCCTTGGCTAGAAGTATTGCATTTGGAACGATTAACCCTTTGAACATTCTACAATCAGCTTTAGAACAGAATATCAATTCTATACATTACTTTATTAATACTACTAAACTCCTTATCTAATGTACACTTTCTATTATTCTTTTTTATAATTAGAGTCGATAGCCTGTGTTGCTAGTGCTCAAATGTCTTTTTTTTAGTCTAAGAATTCATTTCATTAGTCTAAAATTAAAATAATAATAATAATAATATCTGATTTCACCTTTTAGTTATAATTTTTTATTTAAAAGCCGAAATTTATAAGAAAAATAATTGGTATCAAACGGAAAATATAAATATATATACATGCAGATCTATGCGTAGATGTATATGTATTCATGTGTTGCCAGCGTAAGGACTATACCAATCCCTGCTAAAGACACCTAAGAGCTGTTCTCTTATACCTGCGGCGGACGTACTATTGCTAACTGATTGCAGGTACAAGCCAATACCCGCCGTATCTGTAAAGTAGTCTCCAGACCAATTTGATGTTCCAATATATGCCGCATTGTCAGTAACCATGTACTTATTGTGATTAACTCGGCTGTGTGGTATTTTCAATTGATCTTGGTTTATAGGTACAATAAATCGGCGTACCTGTATATCGACGCCTTTCAGGGATTTGGTTAGATCTGTTAAAGATTTCAGAAAATAGTTTTCAGATTTACTTGAATAACGCCACCAAGAAATAAGTAATTTTATTTTTACTTTATTTTCAATAGCCACTTTTCTCAAAGCATCATCGATAAAAGGCCAATATCTCATGTTTTCGGTATACATTATAAGCGGATAGTAGTCCATCACTGCGACATACACAAAAGATTTTGCATCATTTATGGTTTTCAATATGCATTCCAAATCATCCACCCGACCGGCTGACGTCAACGGCGGTGGAGAGCTCGAAACCACTGCGTGCAAATTATTTCCACTACTATTCACAATCATAGGGTTAGCAAAATTGAAATTCGTGGAATATTCCTTCGGCCATTCCTTAGGAATATTGGCTGTTTGATTACCAAGATACCAATATTCATTAAAGATTTTCATAAAGTCTTCAGATAATGTTTTGCAATTTATACCAAGGACGCCTAACTCTTTAACTTGGGTCAAAGATCTCCAATCCATATTCGCACTTCCCAGATAAAAATGCTTATTATCTACAACCCATACCACCCTCACAATTACGATAAACAGACCTAAAGTGTCACATTAAGTTAATATAAACGCTTCTCATATAAAGTTAACGTAAACACTTCTCACCGATATCCAATGGCACCCTACCATAAACATCTCCCACAGATATCTCATTTCACCCTATAATAAAAATAAATGCTGTCTACGGATTATTGGTTAAACCGAGGTTTCCTGTTTTATAAATCGATAAGAAAAGTCAGTCTCTTTATCAACTATCCATTTAACAACAAGTTCCAAACCAAAGAAATAAATTGTTAAATTAAAATAATATACAAAAAATAAAATTGCGTTTGATTAATAAATCCAAGGAAATAAAAATAATTTAACTGGCGCCCGAGCAGAGTTTTCCAGAGAAGGAAGGACCGAGACACTGCGGACTGCGGTGGTTAGAAGGAGCTTCATCACCTAAAAAAAAAGAATATAAAAAAATTATTATTAATTAAAGGATTCCAAAAGTAAAATTAAACAAAAATAAAATAATAAAAGTCAAAATAAATGTGAAAATAACTAAAAAAAAAGTCAATAAATTGATAAAATAAAAAAGGAAAGTTCTAACAAGTGAAAACTTTATAAAATAAAATTAAAAAGGAACTCAGAAAAAAACTAAAGGATTGGAAAAAATTTTTAAGTGAAAAAATAAAAGAAAAAAAAAAGCTCTTTCCACCAAGCCGAAGGAGCAGAGTGTGCAGCAACGGGAAACAAAAGGAACGGATAATGGTAAAGGACTCATCAACTATGGTAAAAACCATAGTATTAATGTAAGTAAGATTTTTATTATTTTAATACAAAGGGAACAACAAAAATACAAGAAATTTTTAAGAGAAAAGGAAAAATTAAAAAGAACCAAGGTGAAAAAAAAAAATAAATAAAAAAAATAGGAAAATTTTTTACTAGAAGTTAAAATTAATAATAGAAGAAAAGAGAAAAATTTATAAAAAAAAAAAAAAAGGAAACATAAAACAAAGAAAGAAAATAAATTTGGGAATTTTTAAGTAAAAAAAAAGAATAAAGGAAAATTAAATAAAAAAGTCAAAGAAGGCAAAGAAAACAAACCTAAGTGAATCTATATTAAAGAAACGAAAATAAATGAATATTAGCAAAATCTGTAAAGAAAATTTTTAAACAAAATTTAGCAAGTAAGCCTAAAGCAGAATTAGATTTAAGAAATTTTTACGATAACTCACAAAATTAAAATTAAGAATTTCTCGGCAAACCGCAAGTTTCGACAAATCACAAGTTATCGGAATATCAAAATCTGAAGTCAAATTTTTTTTCCTTTTTCTTCGCGACAAATCACGAGTTATTGGAATATAAAAATAGAAACATTACAACAAATTTTTTTTTCTCTCTCCTCTCTATAAAATCAAAGTTACCCAAATTTCAAAATGAGCATTGAGAATTTAATTAGGCCATCCACCCTAAATGCAAATCAGACTACAGGTGCAGGATCGTCCGCTTTATATGCGACAACAAATAAGAGAACTAGTGTTAGAAATCATGAGGGACGAAGGAAGACGGGTACTTCAGGAAATAATTAATCCAGACCTAGAAGACGACAACGTTGACCAAACAATTGACACCTCAACGGAAGTTAACCTAAACGAACTTAACTCTATTCCAGACGTAGTCAAAAGTGTAAGAGAATTTTCGGGAAAACCAGAGGAATTTAGTTTTTGGAAGGAAAGTGTTGACAGGATATTAAAGATTTATGACCATCTCAGAGGCAGCCCTAAATACTATGGCATACTAAACGTAGTAAGAAACAAAATAGTAGGTCAAGCGGAAATAGCCCTTGAATCCTACAATACACCGCTAAACTGGAATAAAATATCAAAGCATCTAACCATGCAATATGCGGACAAGAGGGATCTGGGAACACTTGAGTATCAGATGACAACGCTGATCCAAGGAAGTAAAAGCATTCAGGAATTTTATCAGGATGTTTATCATCATCTTTCTTTAATTCTTAATAAACTTTCTTGTATGAACATGGGTACTGAATCATTAAATAACATGACTCAGGCATACCGCGAGAAACCTTTAGACACATTTATCAGAGGACTTACAGGCGATCTATCTCGTTTACTCAGCATGAGGGAACCAACGGATCTGCCACAAGCATTGCATTTATGCTTAAAGCTCCAGAACGTGAACTACAGGACACAATACGCCAACACTAGCCAAGCCACAATCCGAAGGAACATAGCTCCACACTTACCGCAAAGAAGGAGTTATCAGCCCATTTCAGAGGCCAGGACACCGTTCGGCAATCAGCAGAAACTAACTCCAATTTTCCATAGGCAATATCCCCAACATTTGACAGATAGTATCAACAAGGGATCAATCACCCAAGAACGTACCATCCGACATTCCAAGGAAATCCTCAATACCAACCACCAGTGCCCCCAAAGCCACAACGACGTGATGAACCAATGGATGTAGACAGGAGCATGCAGACCAAACACATAAACTACGCAAATCGCCCGAATCAATATCAAACATACGTACAAAAACGATTACCTTCACAGCAATTTCAAGGAATGCCTCTCAAACATCAAAGGTCCTACAACATAACGTGTAAAGAGGACTACGAGGGAGGAAGCACAATAGAATCAAATCCGGAGGAGACATATAATGAAAATATCGAACCAAGTGAAATCCCGGAGTATGAGCAAATAGAACAGCTCGAAGATATTCATTTTTTAGATTAAGGCAATCTTCACTGCCTTATTTTGAACATAAAAATGGCGGTGGAGATATTTTAAAATTTTTAATAGATACAGGGTCGAACAAAAACTATGTTCAACCCAAACACATAAGAAAACCCATTATAAACGAAAAACCCTTTCTAGCCAGTTCTGTCTGCGGCAAGATAAAAATAACTCACCATGCCAACGTGCAACTATTCCCGAACAGAAATAAAATCAAACTTTTCATTTTACCAAGCCTTAAATCTTTCGATGGCATTATCGGTAACGATACATTAAGAGAACTCAATGCAGTCATCCATACCAATCTTGACTTCATGACAATAGACCCAAACGTTAAAATTCCACTAAAACAGTGCATATCAAGCTACATCAATAATATTATATAACTACGCACTTCACATTTGTCTGAAAAACAAAGCAATCGTCTACAAGGACTACTCCAAAACTGCCCACACCTATTTGCTGACCCTAATAGAAAACTGACCTTCGCAACAAACGTATTAGCCGACATCCGAACAACGTCCGATGAACCAGTCTACTCTAGAATCTATCCGTATCCGATGGCTCTGAAGGAAGAAGTAGACAATCAAATAAAAGAACTCTTACAAGATAACATAATCAGACATTCAAAATCCCCGTACAACTCACCTGTGTGGGTTGTACCGAAAAAACTGGACTCTTCTGGTCAAAAAAAGTACCGAATGGTAGTGGACTACCGCAAACTAAACGAAATAACCATACCTGATAAATACCCAATTCCGGAAATAAATGATGTGTTAGCTAATCTTCACAAAAACAAATATTTCTCTATAATTGATCTTAAAAGTGGCTTTCACCAGATACCACTCAAAGAATCTGACATTCAAAAAACTGCCTTCTCAGTCAACAACGGCAAATATGAGTTCGTCCGACTAGCATTTGGTTTGAAAAATGCCCCATAAATATTCCAAAGGACTCTCGACGATGTTCTGAGAGAACACATCGGGAAGCGGTGCTACGTCTATATCGATGTCGTGATCATATTTCGAAAAGACGAAAATGACCACTTCAACAACTTACAAAAAGTCTTTGATACCTTAGAGAAAGCTAATCTGAAGGTTCAGCTCGACAAATGCGAATTTTTAAGAGATGAAGTCGAATTTTTAGGTTTTATAGTAGGAACAAATGGAATTAAGCCCAACCTCAACAAAATCCAAGCAATCGTTGACTTTCCGCCACTCAAAACTCTCAAAGATCTACGATCATTCCTCGGAATGGCAGGCTACTATAGGAGATTCATTAAAGACTTTGCTAAGCTTGCCAAGCCCCTAACAAGCCTTTTAAGAGGGGAGGATGGATGCGTGTCCAAACATCGTAGCCGACTGCCTGTCAAGACCACCAACAAGCAAGGAAATAAACTCCTTAACTGGTACGGTCCATAGCGACGAAAGTTCAGAACAGCACTTGATTCCATCAGTGGAAGTTCCTATAAACGTATTCCGAAATCAGTTAATTATTAAGCACGGTAATCAAGACAGCTACAAGTTAGAAACCCCTTTTAGTAATTTTTCAAGACACACAATAAATCAGAGGGAACTCACCAACGAAGCTTTGATATAGACGTTAAAAAGATACCTCAATCCCAATGTTATTAACGGTCTGTCCACTACAGAACCAATTATGGGGATAATACAAAGTTTCTACCCACAGCATTTTAAGGATTATCACACACGATTCTCACAAACCATAGTAAAAGACGCAGAAATCGAAGAACAGCAGAAAGAAATAATTTGTCAGGAGCATCGTAGAGCCGTAGAAATGCTAAAGAAAATCGCCTACAGATCCTGCAGCAATATTTCTTCCCACACATGTCAGCCAAAATCAAGAGAATAGTTAATAACTGCAAAACATGTAAGGAAAATAAATACGATCGTCATCCCAACAACATAGAGATTCAACCTACACCTATTCCAACCCATACGGGCCACACCCTACACATCGCTATATTCTCTACTGAAAGACACCTCGTACTAACCGCCATAGACAAATTTACCAAATTCGCTATAACAAAACCAATCCAATCCCGTGCTGTTGAAAACATCAAGAGACCTCTACAAGATATCTTGTTCTATTTTGGGATTCCCAAAATGATCGTAATCGATAATGAAAAGGCACTGCAATCTGCCTCCATTATGGCTATGCTTGAAGACGATCTCAAACTCAAGGTATATCGCACACCGCCATATAGGAGCGAGGTAAATGGACAAATCGAACGATTCTATTCTACTCTGTGCGAAATAATGAGATGCCTCAAGTCGGATGGAC